GAATATTTTTTTTTTTCCTGTAGTTGGCCCGTGAAAATCAGAAAATGAAATGGGAATCAGATGGGAAATGGGAAAGTGTGATGGGAAAATGAAGGGAAGAAAAGGGAGGGGTAAAAGGAAGAGGAGAAGAAAGGAAAAGGAAAAGGAAAAGGAAAAGGAAAAGGAAAAGGAAAAGGAAAAGGAAAAGGAAAAGGAAAAGGAAAAGGAAAAGGAAAAGGAAAAGGAAAAGGGAAAAGGAAAAAAAGGAAAAGGAAAAGGGAGGGAGGAAGGAAAAGAGAAGAGCACCACACTCTCTTCTCTTCATGCCCAGTAATTGGGGAGCAGAGCATGAGGTTCCCTGCACCTTCCATATTTGGCTCCATGCTGTGTCCTGCATGAAGGATAAATACTCAGGGCTGTGAGATTACAACACGATGTCCTTCGACATGCTGGACCAGAGGTGGCCTCGACCTACAGAAGCTTCTCAGAGCCGAATCCTTCCCCACCACCTCCCACTGCCTTGCCCTGAGATGTGCATTGAAAGGAGATGGGGAGAGACTGAATTTTCCTCTGGGAGATGCAGTGACAGCAGAAATACTGCAGGAGAGGCACACTCTCAGATTCCGGCTTCTCAGTAGCTCATTATTTATTACAAATGTAGCAAACACTGGGAATCTACAACAGGCATGGAGTGCTCATAAATTAGAGGCTGTGGGACTGCTTGGAAGGAGGGAGGGAGGGGAAGAAGGAGGGAGGGAAGGAGGGAGGAAGGGAGGGAGGGAGGGAGGAAGGAGGGAAGGAAGGAGGGAAGGAAGGAGGGAAGGAGGGAGGGAAGGAAGGAGGGAAGGAAGGAAGGAAGGAAGGAAGGAAGGAAGGAGGAAGGGAAGGAAGGAAGGAAGGAAGGAAGGAAGGAAGGAAGGAAGGAAGGAAGGAAGGAAGGAAGGAAGGAAGGAAGGAAGGAAGGAAGGAAGGAAGGAAGGAAGGAAGGAAGGAAGGAAGGAAGGAAGGAAGGAAGGAAGGAAGGAAGGAAGGAAGGAAGGAAGGAAGGAAGGAAGGATATGAATTTGCAGGCCTTGAGAAGAGGGCAGAAAAGTGACAAAAGGGGTTTTGTCACCTCGAATATGGGGAGGAAAGAGGGAGAGTGAGGTGGTACGTGGGAGGGAGTGGATAAAAGGAGAAGGAAAAAAGCGTAGGAAGAGCCGGGAATTACCTCGGGGGAGGAGAAACCCTTTGCCGCCCGCGGGCCCTTGGCACAGCAAGGGGGAGTCCCCCACCGCCTGTCCGCGGGTGTGTGAGCGGCTCCCGGGAGGAGCTGCTCCTTCCTTCCTTATCCTCATCCTTCCTTTCCTGCCCACTCAGCCAGAGACCTCCCGAGGGTTTCTAACGGCGGGTCCCGCACATCTCATGACGAGCCCGAGGGCTCCCAGTACAGAGATTTCCGGCGTCAGGGACCCCGAAAAGCCGTTTTCTTGGCCACACAGCTCAAAGCGTGAGGCAGCCCGGTGCTTGTAGGGAGGGAGCTACGGGACTCTCGGTTCCCCCAACCCTAGGATTGAAGGAGGGGGGTGCTGCGTGCCCGTTCTGACGGCGGCTGCTCTCCCTCCCCCTGCAGGTACTGGGACGATTTCCACGCTTGCACCCTCACAGCGCTCACGGATTGCCAGGAAGGAGCGACAGACCTGTGGGAGAAACTGAGACGGGAATCCAAAAACCTCGATTTCCAGGGCAGTTTGTTCGAACTGTGCGGAGGCGGCAGCGGAGCAGCCCCGTCCCAGCTGCCGCCGTCGCTGCCCGTGCTGCTGGGGGCATTGGGAGCAGCTCTGGCCACCTGGGGGCTGCCCTTCTAGCGGGGCCAACGCTGCACCCGGAGAGGAGCATCCGTCCGCGGCTTTGGGGACGTCGTGCTCGGCCGTGGTTGGTGACGGTGGCTGATGGTGGCGGAACACCCGTGTAGGACTGTGGAAGCGTTTTCCCTTTCTTTTTTTTCTTTTCCCTCCCTCCCCCTCCCTCCCCCCCTCCCCCTCCCTTTTTTTTTAATTATTATTATTTATTTTTTTTTCGTGTTTTATTTGCCAAACGTTACCAAACAGGCAGCGGCGTGCAGCCCGAACCGGACCTCAGCTTTACTATCGCTTCAGATCAAACATAGGAGAAAACAATATCTAGAGAGATCGAGGAGCTCGAGCCCCCCCCGGCGTGCACCAGAAATCTCAGGAACGACTCCGGGCCTCCACCCCGACCCAGAGGTGGGGCCGAGGGGATGTCCACGCACGCAGCATCTGGTGAATAACTCACGGCTTCATCTGTCCTCCACGGTCGCTTGTTTTATGGTCATTCCACTGCAGAAAAATAATAATGATAACAAGAAGAAATAATAAATAAAAACAACAACAACAATAAAAAGGGAATAATAATGAAAGTAATGATAATAAATTAAAAAGAGAGTGTTTTCTTAAGGGGAAACGTTAAAGGAGAAAGGAAGGAAGGAAGGGAAAAGGACGGAGATGCGTCTCCGCGCCCGCAGGAGTGAAGGAGAGCTGCGGGCAGAGCGCGGTTCCCTTCCGTTGTCTCCGTACGGAGACATCGGTCAGCACTCACCGACTTTAATTTCGTCCCCCTCTTTGTTTTAGGTGTCACACGTCCAGCAAACCCCCGAGTAGCCGGCAGCAGGGGTCACTAACGGGAGGGGGGGGTGGGACTCAAATGGGAACCTAAAGGAAAAAAAAAAAAAGAAAAAAAATCGACAGCAAAATGATTTTGGAAATAAATAAGTACGTAAATGAATAAACGGGGCCTCGGTTTTAAAAAAAGAGAAGAAAAAAATGTAATAATAATAAAAAGTTTATTATAAAGTCAATTCAGCAAAAAAAAAAAAAAAAAAACTAAAAAAAAAAAAAAAGATTTGCTACAAACTATAGACAGAAGTATAAAATAAAAAATTATTGTTTCAAACGGGGGTTGTCGTCCTTTTTATGCAATATGTCCGGGGTACCCCGAAAGGCTTTGGTGCAAGGGGGGCTGAACCAGAGCCCATCCTTCGATGAACAGCGGCAATTCCAGTTCACGCGAGGACAGGGCTGAGCCGTACAGCTCACCCCGAGCCTCCCTTCTTTCTATTATTTTATCTTTTTTGTTTTCTTCTTTTTTTCTGTTTCTTTCTTAAACGCCCTCTATAAATCCCCCCCCCCCCGCTCCCCGAAGATGGGAACTCCGCGCAGCCCCGCGCCCCGCGGAGCTCTCCGGGCCCCATAAGGAGAAAACGGCGGCCGGGCCGGGCCTCACCGGAGCCCTTCCATCGGTAATAAGGTTGGGGGGCGGGTATTGATTTCGCAGCAGCAGCAGCAGCTCTGCCCTCGGCTATTTATAGGCGCCCGGAGCCTTTATAGGGAGTGCACATCAAAGAGCAACGCGTCCTTTGGCGGCGGAGGGTTGTGATGGGGAGGGGTTGGTTCTACCATTGACCCTCTTGGCCAAGATTAGGGCGCTGGGGCTCCGCTTTTCTCCCTCCCGCTTCCCCCCCCTTCCCGCAATGCAATGTGTAAGCAAACAGCCATCGGAGCGCTCCATCCATCACGCAGCCGCTCCGCATCTCTCGCACGGATTGACTCCCGGCAACGAATGCGCTCAGCGACGGCGCCGGGCGCCTTCAGCGCTGCGAGCAATGTTGGTTTTTTAATGCTAAAATCCATTCTGCGTGCAGAACCTCGTTGGCAGACACCGATCTGCTCGCGGTTCGTTCTCACCGCCCTCCCTCTGCGTTCCATCCCCACCGTCACTTAAAGGAGAGGAGAACTCCGGGGAGCAGAGCGCTGTCGGAGCGGTTCGGGTTCTTTTCGCTCCTTCTTTTCCCTCAATTGATTTTTTCTTTTTTTCTTTTTTTTTTTTTTCTCTGAGCTTCGCCGTATGCATGAGGTCAGGCGCCGCGGCTGAGATTTCCCGCAGCACCAAATGGCAGACGGGGAAAGCGGGGAGGGGGGGACGGGGAGAAAGAGGGGAGGCCCTGAGGGCTCCTGGACCCCTTCCCAGTGCACATCTCCTTTGGGAGAACCCTTCCCCGGGGGCTGCAGGGCAGGGAGCTCCTCTGCTATTTCTTCTGCCCTCGGAAAAAAAACGGGAGACATCGCAAATAAGGGGGAGATTCACAGCTCGTTAGCTGTCTGCGCGTGAGGCTGAATTAGAAAGGATAATTTATTCGTAATTAGCAAATCCCCCCCTTAACACCCCCCCCTCCCCCCCCCAAAATTAGCCCTCTGTCGTGGTGAGAGAAAAAAAGGTAGTGAATAGGGGAAAAAGGAGAAGAGACTAGAGGGGTTGGAGGGGCTCGGGAGATCCCGGGCAGCTCTCGCTTTTGCGGGGCCTCCATGTCCCTCACCCTTAGGGCTGTGGGGAGAGGCGGGAGATTCTCGCCCCGCGTTGCCGCAGCCTGAGCCGGAGCCTGCGAACGGCCCCAACCTCTGGGCAGACGAGGGATGGGGACTGGAAAAACGCAACAGAAGAGGTTTTAAAGGTTGAAAGAACAGCAGGAAAATTGTCATTGACTTAAAAAATTACAAACAGCCGAAACAAACGCCGACTGGATGCCGGCGGCGGATGGGGGGTGGGGGGGTGGGGAGAGAGCTGGGGGATGCTGCGGCCGCTGCGGCTCTGCTGCCCTCATTCCTCTCCCCGGCTCCGACTGAGCAACCGCAGCCCGCAGTCCTCGGGGGCCGCGGGGCTGCCGCCTCCCTCGATCCCTCTCTCTCTTCCTCCATCCCTCCCTCTAGCGCGGATGGGACGCGGCAGAGTCCGGCGGCAGCCGGCACCAGCCCGGCCTCTCCTAGCTGGGGCTGAAGTGGTGGAGGTGGTCGCCTCTTGGGTTGGTTGGTTGTGGTTTTTTTTTTGGTTTGGAGGAAAGAAACGGAAAGTAGGGACCTAATTCTTTCCAGGGCTATGGTTCTATGTGTGCAGCTCCCTTCCAGCCGACTCTGCGGAGCACCGACAGACTAACAGACAGAGGCCCATCAGAATCCCACCTATTCATCAGGGCTGATTCATTAATAATTAGTGCCATTGGGTGCTGTAATGCACTGCCCGAAGGCCTCAATTAATGGAGAAGGAGCTCGTTTAATCCGGAGGGCCGGATTCTCCCCGCGTTACTCCGTCTGGTACACAGGCTGTACCTCAAGGGTGAGCAGCAGCCCCAGCCCCGGCCCTCGGGGCTGCAGCCCTCCTCCTTCTGCTTCTCTTTTCCCTCCTGCCTGGAGGATGAGGCTGCAAATCGGGTTATCTTTCAGCACCACTTCGTTCTCCACCACGAGGCAAAGCAGTGTATTTGGAGGGCAAAGTGATAGGGACTGCGGAGGAGTCTTTGTTACAAAACCAGATGCAATTTTAGCCGTCCAAGAGAGTAGCTTCAGGCTACCGGCAGCTGATGATCAATGACGCTGCTGGCAGATATGCTTCCAGTTGGCTGCTGTCCCTCCCGAGGGAAAAGTTCATCTCAGGGCCCATTGCAGTGCCGTGTTCCACCAGCAAGAATCACAGAATCATAGAATCACAGAACTATAGGATGCTTTAGGCTGGAAGGGACCCTATAGCCCACCCAGACCCAGCCCCCTGTCGTGGGCAGGCTCCCCCCCACCAGCTCAGGCTGGCCAGGGCCCCATCCAATCTGGCTTTGAACATCTCTAGGGAAGGAGCACCACAGCTTCTCTGGGCAGTCTGTGCCAACGCCTCACAACACTTTCAGAGAAGGAGAAAAGCTGGAGGTGGGGTGGGAAGGAGACTGTCACAGAGGCAAGCTGTTGACTGTTGGAAAGTTGGAGGTCCTGACCTGCTGAAGGTTGAGGGGGGAATGGCTGTGAGCTCACCTGGGGGCTCCACCAGCAGAAATCCACTCACAGGTCCTGGGAGCCTCTTCAGCAAGTGAAACAGCATTGCTGCAGGGAATAAACAACCAGTCCTGACCTTCCCCACACGGTCCTTCTCAGGGAAAAAAGTATGCTCAGAAGTCAATACACATTTTGCCTAGGTAAGGATTTTGAATGCTCCATTTTGCCTCTGTCAGGAATGCTACCCAAACACGAACTCCAGGTTTATGCCAACAAAATACAAAGTGCTTGTGTGTGCATCATAACTTATACCCCCAGGGTTCTTGCCTATGATACCCATCTCTTAAGCACTGTGTAAAACTTGGCAAATCTCTGAAGCACCCAAGATCAGATCTGTGTTCTGCAGGACATCTTTTTCTTTTTCTTTCTTTTTTTTTTTTTTTGCTGTGACACAGCAGACTCAGGAGCGGATGGGCAGTGCATCCCTTAATACCACTTTAATACCATCAATTTTTATAGGGCTTTGGAAACTACTGAATATTCAAAAATGATCCTCCCTAAGGGATGGATCAAAACAAAATGAAAAAGAAATACAGAAAGAGGGAGGGGAAGAAAGGAAGAAAAAAAAAAAAGATTCCATCACTGTCACTGGTAAGAATATTTAAAACCAGCGTTTTCCCTCCATCAGCCATCTCTTTGCTGCAGAAGATTTTCCTCCAGGACTGGCCAGGTGCAAACTCAAAGCTGCCTAATGCATCTCCTCAGGAGTCAAACTGCACCCCCACTACAGTGTTTCTTTGTCAGAACTTCTTGTAGCAGTTTCTCAATTAGGGGATGTTTTACAGTAAATTGATGGCTGGGTAGTGATGCTTCTTTCTGCATTGTGTTTTGACCTGGCAGTGAAAGGAGTCCATTCCTCTGCTCCTCTGGGATGCTTGCAGTTTTCCAGTCCTCTGGCTGCCTCTTTGCAAAGGAACGATTCCTGTAAAGCCACTGCCCCACTTCTTTTCCCATTTTCCGTGAAACCCCGAAATGATGCTGTTAGGGGAAAAGAAAATTCAGAACATATTTTGTTAGTACAGAACACTGATCGCATTAGTGTTGCAACACTCCTTTCAGGATCCAAGAAGTCAGAAAATTGTCCAAAGCTTTGCTTTTTATCGAGACTTAATAGGCACCCTTGTCCTTCTTATTAGCCCTGTGATGCAGGACTTGGCTTTGTTCTGCTGCCAAGACATTTTATTTGATCTTCTTCACCCTTCCTTCTGCTGTCTATTACATGGGAGTAGCACTTGGAGATCTTTGGTGGGTGGAAAATGCTGTGTGAGGAGGTAGGCGTTATTAATTAGGATGATCTTATTTTATCTTTTAGCTTTCACCAAAAGAAAAATGTCTGGTTTGGAATGACAGCCCTAAACAGTGGGTAACGGATGCTTCCCTGTGGCTTCATAGTTCTGCTGTGTAACAGAGGACGTCCGGCCCCGGAAGCACGAGAGTTGTGGCTCATGTTTCCCTTAGAAGGAGTCTTATTTTTCAGAGTGTTGCAGCATACTCAGCCCTATCTGGGGATTACAGCCCGTGCCCTTGGCTAGGTGGTCAAGGACAAGACGCAGTGTTCTTCCTGCAGAGACGCCAGCCCACCTCCAGAGATGTCAACCATTGCTGGCCAGCTCCCCGTTCTGCTCTGCATCCAATGTTTCTTCTGTTCTCTCCTTCTCTTTTCTTTAGGTGTGCTCTTTTCACCTAAACCAGAGATCTGGCACATCAATACTTAAAGGCTTAGGAGGAGAAGAAAACATCAATATTTCACTGAGCATACAAAGTTGCACAATTCCCTCTTCTCCATTTTAATGCTGGCTGTGGTTCGTTTGGGTTTTTCCATAAGCTGAGAGATTCCAGCTTCTCTTTGAACACCACCTGTGTGAATAGCTTGTTTTTCTCCACTTCTGGCATTAAAAAGCAGCCATAGGATCCTGTTCAGGGTCACCAGTCGGGCAGT